AAGTATTTCAAGTGCGAAGTATTAGTCTTCTCGTCTATCAATATTTCCTTGTGAATTGCAATTCCAAAATTTGCTGATTGGCCTTGTAGAATTCTTCCTGACATATTTGACGAATTACTTGTTAAGAGGTAAAAGAGACAACTTTTCTTTTTAAATTTTGATTGTTGAATTATTAATATATGTTTAACTGACTTAATTATTAATAAGGTGTTTTAAACATTTGTAGCGCTTATAAAAAAACTGAGAAGAAGATAAAGGAAGGCTCCACATGATGTGATCGACTACCGAAAAGGAAATTGAAATATAATTTCACAGAGTAATACAGTTGTCTCCACTTCATAACGAATTCAAAGGAAGCTATGTACAGCAGAGTTATCAGTTTGTCCTGAATGTCCTCTTGCAACATAAGTTATTTATATTTATTGAGATACATTAACAATTCGTGGCTTTATGATTAGTATATTATATACATTTTTAGAAATTTCATGTTGGTAATTCAACAGCTGCAATGGGAATAGATGTGAAAATACATCTACGACATATTTTGGGATCCTAGAAAAAGAAGCAGTGGATTACAAAATGCTGAAAGCTTGTACTGTCACTGATTTTTACAAGGTATACAAATTTTAACATAGTTCTTTGTAATAATATAATACGATATTATATAATATTTCATATCTATCATATATTTCGTAGCAAATAGGAGTAGGATTAGAATAGAAATAGAAATTTCAATAAATTATACAACCATTAGAAATTCGGAGAATATATGTGTTTTTGCCTTTCCCTCCCCTCCCCTCTCTCTCTCTCTCTCTCTCTCCTCTCTCTCTCTCTCTCCTCTCTCTCTCTCTCTCTCTCTCTCTCTCTCTCTCTCTCTCTCTCTCTCTCTCTGTCTCTCTCCCCCTCTCTCTCCTTTCCCTCCCTCACACACACACACACACACACACACACACACACACACACACACACACACACACACAACGCGCGCGCGCGCGCACTCACACGCACGCACACGAACACGCACACGCAGACGCACACGCACGCACACGCACACGCACACGCACACGCACACGCACACGCACACGCACACGCACACGCACACGCACACGCACACGCACACGCACACGCACACGCACACGCACACATACACGCACACGCACGCACGCATCCAAAGTCATTTCATTCCCTAAAATACTTATTTCTATGTTAATCCTGATCTCCCTTACCTGTTGTATAATCACCCATGAAGCAGGTAATAACATCACATCAGTTTATTTTAGAGCGTGCATATGTAAAATCCATTGAAGAAGCAAAAATTGGTGATGCCACAAAGAGAACGTAGAATGAAATATTTTGTGAATACATTGGCGAGAAATATAACTGGGTAGACCGATGAAGGAAAAGGAGAATCACTCTACACAATTTGCAGATAATAAAAATAATTTTTAGTAAGTTTCAAGCCTATTCTATAATGACAATATTCAGTCGATAAAGCAGCTTAATGAGCGCTTAGTGATTATTGTTTGTGACTGGAGCATTCTTTTACAATTCTCATAAATATAGAAGCATTTACTAATCAGGACGATAATTATGAAGTACTCACTGAGCTGCTTTTTCCACTGAATGCAGCCAATAGCATAAACGTAATTGTTAACATAATGTTGTAACAAACTGACTAATCATAGTTGATTATTTCTCTACTGCATGAAGAATAATCAGTTGTAATTTATTTGGAATTTGTGCCCATTTCTTACAACATTACGTTTCCAAGTACACTATGGATTTTTATAATTTGTATTTTACAAGTAGAGGTAACCAGGGATAGTAGGCTGCAAGTGTAAGTTTGAAATATCCATGAATTTTATTATAACAGTTAATAAAAATAAAGTAAGCAAAGATTTCACAATTATTTTAGATATGTTGGAGAATCCTTCTTGCTCAGTTATATAATCTGTCAGAAAAAACAGAAATAATCTACTTTTTAGCCTTACCTCTGTGGCCAACTTTGTCTCTGATTTTTATTAACCCCTTCCGTGGCACGGACGCACCGGTGCGTCCAGCCAAAAGCATTTCTAAACATTTTAGTCGCCATATTCGATCCGCCCATTTTTAATTTCTATATTTTGCCACAAATTCGGCTTCAGCGACCAAAAAAACTGAAGTATACAAATTATTGAAAAATTCGCCCCGCCATTTTTTTGGGGCAGTTTCAGTGCATTTTACTGAATTTTGCTTTGCCACGGAAGGGGTTAATTATTAAAATTATATAATACACTGCCTGCCTTAAAATAGTAAATAAATAGTGAGCGAATTTCATTCCATCAAATAGAATATTAATCATATGAAATCATATCAATATGAAATAAAGACCCATCATATTACGTATAAGTATAAAGACTTATGTAATGGAATGAGATCCATTCATGATCTATTATTTTAAGCAAGGTTTATCAATATATAAGAAAAATTAAAATAGAGAAAATATTTGTAGGATCTGTACTTACAAAAACCAAATGTGACTTGAACAAATATAGTGGAAGAATGTTCTGCTTTTCAAAGACGAAGAAGCAGAATCAAAAGATGTAAAACTGTAATGTATTGCACTTTTAGTAATCTATGGCAAGATAGAGATGGCAAGGTATTAATCATAGACATATGATTAATGATATGATATCATTATATCTAGACTGTGTGTTGAGGAGTGGGGACTGATGAATATGGAAAAAGATACTCTCTGTAATATGCTCCTTCGTTCTCTCTCGTTTGCGCATTAGTCCGAGAGAGAGAACCTTTTGACATTTGCAAAGTTCTCTTAGCATGCGATTAGATGCTGCAAACGCTACGAAGCGCCCAAAGAAAAACCACGATTGATTAATATAGTGCTTCGAAGCATTTGCAATGTCTAATGAATCGCGTTCTTAGACAGGCGCGAACGAGAAAGAATGAAGGGGCACACTATAGAGTATATCCTTTTTTTGTACATATTATCAGCCCGCATTCCTCAAGTAAGGATAAACGCGCAGTCTAGATATATTATGTCTATGTTAATACAGGTAAAAACTATAAAATATTATCATTATATTTTATTATCACTGATTATATATCACTGATAAGATAATAGATATCACTTTCTTCTGTATGCTATCTATACACAATTATTTGTTTATATCTTTTATATGCAATATACGTTTGTTTTCAGTCATTTTTACTTTATAGCCAATGATGAACTTTTATTATGATACATTAAAGTGTTTATTACATTAAAAACTTTAATTGTAAATCTGAGGCTTCTTTTTCATAAAAATAATTTATTATAAAATATGAGTAAAGATATAGAAATAATATATACATATATATATATATATAAGTGATAAGTAAATTACCTTACATAAAGTAGAACAATTCAAGTTTGTATACAGCATGTGCTTAAAATATTATGTGTTTCTTCCTGTAATTATATCCTGCAGTCAATGAAAGTACAATTCAAATGTATAGCACCGTAGAGTTTGCACTCAATTGGTCTGTTCTTTGTAATTGCACTGCTGAATTGGTACAATAAAGCTAGAATGAGAAAACCTAATTTCTCTCACTTTAACTTATTGCATCAGTTTAACAGTACAGCTACAAAGAACAGACCAAATATTAGTGCGGATGTACAATAAATGTAATAAGTTTTAAACTGTAAAAACTGGACTATAGTCGATTTTTACAAAAATATTCAAGTATGGTTTTTTTATGGAAATTTGGGAAAGATTCGAGTATTATAGTCGCCAAATAAAATTTACTCGTTGCTGCAACGATTCATTTAAGTAAATTCTTTACATTGTGATTACTGTGTAAAAACTTCTCATGTGTATTTTTTATGAATCCAAGATATTTATGTTACTATATGCAGAATTAAATTTTAAATATATCTCGAATTCACAAAAATATTTACATGAAGGTTTTCTTATAGCAACTGCGATGTGTACGATAGAATTAAGAGTCATAGGATTGGTCTCACCAATTTCATTTATTTTAATCAGTCGATTAAATTTTAATGTTTCAATGCAATTGTTCAATCACATTTTTAAACAGACCTAATCATGAATTAACCAACCATAGTTGAGATTTATACCCGTTTTTATTAATATCGTTAAACGTCAATTAAACCTTGAGTTTTAAGTCTGTTTGAATAGAATTTAAACTCAGATCAGATTAAGGTTTAACTAACATTGGTGGAGTCGGACATTAATCAATCAATTAATGTAATTGAAGTTGATGAGACCGTCCAGGTGCATTTATCTATTCTGTTCTTTTAAGTTGTTTTAAATAAAACAATTTTATTTTTCTATGACTACTATCCTTTGTGGCCTCCCATCGCCTTCTATATCAGCGTTTCCGGAGTTCTTGTCACGGTTCTCTGCCGCCTCCTATGCTGCTTTCTGTATCAATGCTTCCTGGATATCTATTACGGTTCATCACCATCTTCACACCAGCCTAATCTTATCTTTTTACAACAATTTATATCGCTTTTATTTGTTTTATGTTGTAATTCTTATTTTTATAAAAAAATAAAAATCTTTTTACATTATTTAATGTGTATTTTAATCAACTTTTTAATATTAAGACAATTTTAAATTTAAGTGTATATAATAAATTTATATAGTCTATTAACCATCTATTTAAATTCCATGAAATATCTATAATTGATCTATATTACGTCTGAGACACGTCTATAAAAACGTCTACTAGAGGTTGAATGGAAGTTTGAAATGCGGAACTGTGGATGTCTATTAAACGTCCATATATAGTTTCATGGATGTATTATAGAGGTTATGAATATCCATGATAGATGTCTTATGGAAGTCCATTAGAGGTTCTTGTTCTGTGTGGGATTAGTCGCTCATTTAAATACTATGGGAAGAAATGGAAAGTCAAAAGATCTAAAGTCATGGAAATCGGTAAGTCAATAATATTTAAAATATTATGTGTAACATGCCAGCAAACACAATGTTAGATGTAACGTACATGTTAGTTGTAATTTCCTACTCAATAATATAATTGTTATATGATATATATGTTATGTAACAGTTATATTGTTGAGTAGGAAATTACAACCAACATATATTATACGTTACATTTAATATTGTGTTTGCTGGGATGTAACTACGTTGGATATATTTTCGTAATAAATGCTTTAGACATGGCGAGATAATAAAACGGCAGTTTCCCAAAAAGTTGCTAAAATCCGTGCTAATAAAGTTACGACAGGGAACATTGGTGGTCCTCCTATCACACTGACGGATCGAGAAAAAAAGATTTTAGGCCTTATAGGACTAGATTATGTGGAAGGTGTGCAATGTTCTGATTCATTTCCAGAGGAACAGGTAGTGAAAAAGTTTTAAATATAACTGTAATCATTTTTCTAATATAAAATATATCTAATATAGAACATTTTTATTAAAATATATTTAGAAACTTCTTATTTCATCATACTTAAAAATTTGAAATCTTTTTTTGTTTGTGATGCATATAAAAATAATATTGAGTACATGTTTATTAAACAGTATTTGCTTTTTAAATGTTTATTTCAGGGAGAAGCAATGCATTTGCTTACTGCAGGGGACGAAAGAATTTTAAATGATATTCCAGAGTCATTAACATTAAGAAATAACGAGATTATAGAACATGACGTTAATTATATAGGTAACATTTTTTCTGAATACATTGTAAATGTCATGATAAATTATATGAATGTGTTAATCAATATTGCTCTGAAAATGTATAAATGCAGCACTCCTTACACTTTTTTTATTTCAGATTATGAAGTGCTACATGATATGGAAAATGTTATTGAAGAAGGGTCATCTTTCAATAATATTCAAACACACTCACAAATTCAAAATGCGGAGACTGCAGAATGTCATCGTGAAATAACAGAACCACCATCCGCTATTCAAACTGATGATCCACAACGGCTCACAACTGTAACGCAAAGTTCGAGCAAGAAGCGAAAAAGACCACAAATTACAAGGAGTAAGTATTGCTATTGATATATACCTATTTTTTTATAACAGCTCAGTTTATATACGTAATATTTTCTTTCTTTGTAAGACAGTGAACGGTTGGGTACACAACTGCACAATGCCAGAGAAGATTTTGCGATCCTAGCTGAACGCCAAATTTCATGTATGGAGGTAAAATCTATCTGTCATTCTCAGAATATAATTTCTTTGGAAGAAACGTGTTATTAACTCAATGCTTTAAACGTACTTTTTTTTATGTTTATTTTTACAGATGTTTGCAAAGGCAATGCAACAAATTGCGGATAATGAAAAAGAGCGAAATGAATGTTTACGTGCCTTTATAGAAGCAGAAAGAAGTAGAGAGACAACATATTCCGAATTATTAATAATAATCAAAGATTGTGTTGAAGTATTAAAAAAAAAAATCTTTCACATAACTAGTCCGTATTTTGATCAGTATTTTATTCTTTTCTTTTAATTTACTATTATTTTTTCTTTATTACATTTATAGTTTATAGACAATAAGGGTTTTAGTTTAAGGACAATAAAGTTTTTATACTGTTTGCAGAAAGATGTTTATTTCAATAATATAAAATTTTAATATGAAAATAAAGCTTTAATATATTTAATATTATATAAAACTATTTTATATAAAACATTATATAAGATAATGTAAAATTTTAATATAATACATTTTTTTTAACTTTAATATACATGTTCTTTTTTTCGTTAAAATTGTTATCCTTTACGCACACATATTTATATAAATATTTGTAATTGAATTCAGACGATGAAACATTTATTCTGAGTCACAAAATGTTTATGGCTTCGAAAGCCATTCGGAATCAATATTCTCATTTAAAGCGTCAAACAATAGAGGATAAGTAAAAAAAACATTTAATCATTTTCAGCACGCTCTTCATCTTGTGCATCTCGATAATTAGGAAATCTTTCTCTCATAATTTGGCGTTGTATTCTTTGAGCTAAAGCGCGCGGTCCTCTTTGATGTAGATCTTCGTTATCAATGAGCCCAGCATTTTCATATTCACCATTATCAGCAGCTATTGGTGCTTCCAATTCTTCAACAGGCAAACGGTGTTGAATTCTTATATTATGCAGTACTGCACATGCATTAACTATTTTTGCAGCAAATGCTGGCCTATACATCAGCACACGCTGATAGGAAAGACATCTCCATACAGATTTGAAGACACCAAAAAAACGTTCAACAATGTTTCATGCCTTACAGAGCTGTTGCGTATAATGAAATTGCCGGGTATTTTCAAGAAAATCGACCAATGGTGTCATGAGCCACGGTTCCAAAGGGTATCCAGCATCGCCTAATGAAAAATATTAATATTGTTACGAATATACTGAATATTTCGGGAAATAAATAAAAGGTTAAAACTACATGAAATCTTAATTATTCAAAAACAATGAAAAAATCTTGTTTACACCAAACGTTATTTAGTATTATACGACCGACGTGTGACGGTCGAACAAGGCGTCGATGTGAGCACACGGTTGTCACACAGAATATTCAATATTTATAAAAATATACAAGATCTTATTACAGTTTTTTATTTTCTTTTGCAAAGTTCTTCGAAGTCCTTATTTTCATAAGGACTGAAGGTTCATAAGGACTAAAGGTTCACTCACCGATCAGCCAAGTTTTCCGTTCTCCTCGATTATAATGAAATTCCATTGCTCGACGAATTGGTGATGTACTCCAGATGTATGAGTCGTTTCGTGCACCTGGATATCGTGGATTGATGTTAAGTAGCTTCATATCTGGATCAACAATCTGAAAGTATAATTAAATAATGCTACAATTAGACAAAAGTTTTGCAGGAAACCAATTTATGTACTTCCTAAGTGATTAAACTTACCGCTTGCACGTTCAAAGAATGGTGACCGTGATGATTAATGAACGCCTCTTCATTTTCATGAGGGACTATAATATGAATAAAAGTACAGTCTATAGCAGCGATAGCACCTTCGAATGGGTAAATAGCAGCGGAGAATTTTGCACGCGCTTGCTGTCGATCTTCTTCGGTCATCGGGAATTTTACCCATCTACGCAGCAAGCGCCGATTAATCGCTTCAGTTACGGCATGGAGGCAACGGCTTGTTGTTGATTGGCTAACAATTCATTGGAATTGATTGCCAATGCTTCTTTGATAGCTGCCTTGCGCATAAAATTGTATGGCTATCAACACCTGTATTTAATGTTTCAAGATTATGTTTCAATATTATAAATTAAATATTATAAATTATTATAGTTTTGTTCCAATGTTACCTTTATTTCTGGCACTAAGCCAGTAAGTCGTTCATTCTGTAAATCAACCCTTAATGCAGTTGCAATGTCGATTACCAGTTCAGGAGTAAGGCGAAAATAGTCGATGAATTCATCTCGTGGGATGTGAAAAGGGTTTTGAACATCTCTCAGCCGCCTTCTTGCCACACGCCGTTCTAGTCGACGCACTCTTTCAACCACTAATCCTAATTCCCACGCCAAATATTCAAGGGCCATGTCCTCTTCAAATAAATCAATTTTTAATATACATAAGCTTAAATGCCAAATATGTCGATTTTATGGAAATAAAAATTCTTACGAGTATATAAATAAAAAAATCGAAAGGAGAAGAGCAAATTCATATTAACTTAATACAACGTTCAAAACATTATATAAGAATTAAGATGTAAATATACATTACTTTCTCCAAACCAATTATTATAAACAACGTCAATTTTTACTCACCGAATTCCTTGTGTTAATTTTTCTTTTAATATATGTTTACGATATATACATGTGAAGACCTTCTTAAATGAACACACTCATCACTTCGACACTTCAGACGCTTCTAAACATTTTTAACCTTTAACTTATGGTTTGTTCTTTTTAGCTGCTGAATTGGTGCAATAAGTTAGAGTGAGGAAAATGTACTTGTCTCACTGTAACTTATTACACCAGATCAGCAGTACAGTTAAAATGAACAGACCACTACTGTCGTTATGTGATCGTTACGCGTACCGAGGGGTATCGAACCATGCGTTATGATAGCGACATATAACAACATCATACCGATTTTCGTTATGAATAGCGACAATAGTCGTTACCATTCGCGTACAGAATTGCATTTGACGTTATAGTGTTGTAACGTTATATAACGAACCGACAATTATCGTTATGAGCACATAACGACGGCATAACGAGTTACAGAATCGCAGCACTGTGGCGCGATTCTTTAACTCGTTATATTTGTAACAACATGGAACGGTATGATAACAATACCGACTTTTGTCGTATGTAACGTAAGACTTATATCGAGTATGCGATTCACTAACAAGGGACATTCGGCAACGCGGAAATTCAAAAAAATCTGAAACTCTGCATAATTGTAGAGCAGATATACTTAATAACAAAACAATTTTTCGTTGGTGCCCAAAAACGGTTTTAAGGGTGGAAACAACCCCTTGAACAAAGTTGATTTTTGTCTTTCTAAGCGAATATTATCGAAACTATTAAAGATATGAAAAAATGTTTTAGACAAAAGTTTTATGGTTTTAAAAGTACTTTATTATACTATATTTAGATTTTTTTTAAATGTAAAATTGTGTATAAAATACCCCCCCTCCTTCTCTTTTTTCAAATTGTTAAAATCAATTGTCCAACCAAAATAAAGCTTTTATGACAAATTCAACCATATATAATAACATTATGTTTGGAAAAGGCAATATTGAAAAAAAAATTAAAAATGCTCTTATATATATGCTACGCGTACCAAACTTATGGGTTCGCTGCTTGACGATGGCATTTCTTTCTCCCTCATAATTACTGACTGTAAAAGGTAAGGAAGGAATAAAAACAGGTAATCTAAGAAAGAATAAAGTTGATGTTAAGAAGTAAGTTGAAGAAGAACAGCATGATAAGGAGGACGCAGAGAGAGTATATAACCCTAATATAGATAATCTTTTAAATTCAATTGTAAAGAACAAAGGAAGGAAATGGAATTGTAAGGAAATGAATGATATGAAGAAAAAAGGAGAACACACACGGATTTAATAATGAAAAATATAATTTATAAATTTATTCAGTGTACATTTGTGTGTATGTGTTTTGCTTCATTCAGTATATAGGTTTTATTAATTAAGTAGTCGATATAGATATTCGAGTGAAAGATATCTTATATTTTGGTATGGATTATAATATATACAAATTTTACAGGAATTGAGGACAGTAAAATATTATTTATTCTATATAATTATTACAATAATGATATTGCTCAAAGAAATGTTCAAAACAAAAATATTGCTTGCACCATGCACAACGTATAAAAGCCATTTTACCACAAATGCTACATTTTGGTATACGTTTTTCTTCTTTAAAATAACAATAATCGATTGGATTATGAAATTTTTCAGGCCGTGTTGATAAATAACCACTTTTATAGCTATATCTAAATAAATTTCGAAATCTTGGAGAAGACAGTTGATTGTGTATTAAAGATTGCAATTTTATTATGTTATTATGTAAATGTAAATTTATGTCATAATTATTTATAATAACACTATCAGAAAAGCTTCGAACAAAATTTTTCCAGATTCTGAAACCAAAAACATCTAATGGCTGTATAAAAGCAGTTGTTTTTTTTGGTATTGTTAGAATATTTACATGTTCGTCTTTTGGTACAAGTTCTTCCAATTGGTTCGGGCAATGTCCTGTCCATGAATCAAGCAGTAGTATACTTTTCTCTCCAATGTTTGGTAGATACACTTCTTGGAACCAATTTTTGAAATGTTCAGTTGTCAATTTCCCTGATTTTGAAGCCGCAATGTAAATATTCACTGGTCTAAAAAGAGTTTGTTCTACTTGTGGTCCAAAAACACCAGTAGATTCTTTTAATACTATATACAAAGGCGAAAGGAGATGTCCATCTGCAGATATAATAGGCATAATGGTGTAGCTATGAGTCATAGCAGATAAAGATTGGATAGTAGCTCCAACTGTCTTCACTCCTACATTAGCTAATGTTCTTCCTGCATGTATTTCTAAATTAAAGCCACTTTCGTCCGCATTATAAGTTGATTCAGCACCAATTACATTAATATGTGGCTTTACTGTATTTACAAATTCCTCAGCGTTTTGACGTATAGTTAGATCAGTTAAATGAGAAGACCGCGTTTTAAATGCAGTTATTTTACGTGATGTAATACGATGTGCCTTTTTAAAATTCCATATCCACCAATTTCCTGCTTTAAATGAAGAAATATCCACTTGTTCCTTTGCTTCTAGTGCCCATTTTCGCAGATTTATATCATGAATAATAAGTCCTCTATTAACAGTTTCTTGGAATTTTATAAGAACATATTCAGCAATAACTACAAGTTTGTCTGTATTTGAACCCCCACGCATTACATGTTCTTGCCATCTGTGCAATTGTTGAATAGATTTTACCTAGAAGAAAACAAATCTCAATATTAAACAATTCGAATTCAAAAATAAAAGAAGTTATATACGAATTAAATGTTCACGAAACATCAAATTGTAAAACTTAAAATAAAAAGCAACGCGACTCTAACTATATAATTTACAGCTTTGGTCATAAGTATAAAGCATCTCTAACTCATTGTATTTTCCTAGAAATCAATGCATATACTCATAGTAAATATATAATCTCTTTACAATAAATATTATATTAATATTTTATAATATAATGTGTATATTATATTTATGTATATTATATTTATATTATAATTTATATTATATTAATATTATATTATATTACAATAAATATTGTAAAATAAATATTATTTTCCACATATTCTTATATTATATTTTTTTATTTTATTATTTTTCCATATACTCGTATACTATATTATGTTCTCCATATATTCATATAGTATGTTTTTGTTACACAATTTAAATAAATTTTTTGGGATGCTTTATACTTATAGTCAAAGCTGTATGTACAATGACCGACAATGATGCGTTCCGCGAGAGGGGAAATAGAGTTCTCTCTGTCGCGGAACGAATCACTGCCGGTCACTGTACAGTAAAAGCCTCAAGTATTTTACTATATATTATTCTTCTTATTTTTTAATTAAACTTTACTTTTCTAAAACGATGTTGTACAGAAGTAAGAGATAAATGTCCTTTCTTTCCACTCTTCCAAAATTCGATTGCCTTTTTCTTATAATTTAAGTTTACATTTCCACCTTCATCATCCACAGTGCAAACTTCATTTCCATAATTATCTTCTTCAGCATCAATATCGTACACATCTACAAATTGTACGTCATACGGTTCTGATGGATCGTCAAAATCAAGTCCCCACTCATGTTCGATCGTAATATCGTGATGTATAGCACTCTTTATTAAATCAGTAATTGTATCATGGAGTTCCACCTCTTGATGATTAACAGGAGTTATTGCAATATTTGTGAAATGAAATGTCGCAATTAACAAATTAATAACATTAGCTGGATTTATTACTGACATTATGATACAAATCTTAAGGATATTTTAATTAAACATTTCTCACAGCAATAATATACGTACTGCTTCAATAACTGCTTCAATAACACTGAAATGTATTCCAAAATGGACAGCTTTTATATGCAAATGAATGAAGATAACATATGTCAATATAATGAACCTTGATTGCACTGTACTTGATAAAGAGTGCTATTTTGGTCGCACAGTCATAAAACTTGTGACAAGTGTTTTGCATGTTGCCATGATGTACACACACGTGCGCACGTACAAAAACACACATACACACACACACATATTTATTTATATTTACGCGTGTCGTTTAAATTAATGAAAAAGGTAGCCGCAATGTTGGCAAAATAAACGTCTATTACGTGAAATTTTATAATTTATAACATTTTTAAATATTAGTGACTGTATCCTTATCATGCTATTTTTCTCCTACTTACTTCTTAACATCAACTTTATTGCTTTTTTAGATTTTCTATTTTCTTCCTTCCTTATCTTTTACAGTTTGCAATTATGAGGAAGATTTGAGGAAGAAAGAAATGCCATCGTCAAGTAGCGAATCCTTAAGTTTGGTACGCGTAGCATACATATAAGAGCATGTTTAATTTTTTTTTCAATATTGCCTTTTCCAAACATAATGTTATTATATATGGTTGAATTTGTCATAAAATAAGCTTTATTTTGGTTGGACAATTGATTTTAACAATTTGAAAAAAGAGAAGGAGGGGGGGTATTTTATACACAATTTTACATTTTTAAAAAATCTAAATATAGCATAATAAAGTACTTTTAAAACCATAAAACTTTTGTCTAAAACATTTTTTCATATCTTTAATAGTTTCGATAATATTCGCTTAGAAAGACAAAAATCAACTTTGTTCAAGGGGTTGTTTCCACCCTTAAAACCGTTTTTGGGCACCAACGAAAAATTGTTTTGTTATTAGGTATATCTGCTCTACAATTATGCAGAGTTTCAGATTTTTTGAATTTCCGCGTTGCCGAATGTCCCTTGTCAGTTTTATTTGAGC